GTGTTTAACGCTCTGGAGGCAGCGCCTGAAGTGAGGGCTGCTGGGCCCTCTCACATATTGTGATTCAGTTCATGTTCTGACTCACCCAGCAACAGGCTCCTTAAAAATAGCAACTCTGATTCTTGATCTTGACTGACCTAAAGAAGGAAGGATGGCTCATGTAAAAGATTTCAGAGACAATTAAATAAAAGGTCCACAGCGGTAAATATTTCCTTACTTCATAACAGACTCTCCAGTCACACTCTGAACATGGAAAATACCGTGGCAGTTTCCATTACTCTGCTATCAACTATTACCGATTCTTTGTCCTCTGCGTGCTAATACAGGTTACGGCTACCCAGGCAGGCATCAGTAACTCACCTCATCCCAAGGTTTAACAGTTCTCTTATTTTATTTAGCTAACAAAATCCTTTTGTTCACTAATGAGGTTTAACAACTTAACACTTAGTGCTGGCAATATGAAATACGGGCTTTCCCACAACAGCATTCTCATCAAAATTTCTCTAAACTTTTAAGTCCAAGATGCTTCTCTTGAAAACCTAGGGTTTTAGTACTGTAATGGAATTCTTCACTCCTGCTGAGTTTTGTGCCTCCCACACAAAATATAAATTGGCCAAAGTTTTATATTCATCTTAACTCAACCTCATATTCCAATCTTGACACAGTTAAATTGGTAAATAATTAGTACATACACCTTGATGACCATCTTCTTAGCATGAAAAATCTAACCCTCCTCTCTATTTGCAATGAGCATTCTGATCTGGGGTGATAAAACGCATTCTCTGCCCCAAAGGCAAACCCCATAAACAGTGTCATACTTCTTGCCAAAGCAAGACCATCACCTTGTGGTGAAATCCATCCTTTTCCCTACTCTTTAGCCAGCTACTCCCAGGATATTATTTAGCAACGTGAGCTGGTATAACCACTGCTACATAGCAGCATGATTAAATGTTCACTTGTGGGTGCTACCGTTTGTCTTCCTTCTGACCTCTCACAAACACCCACAATGTCCTTCTAGTGTTAAGGATAGGCTTTCGGCATTATTCTCCTTTCCTTTGAAGGCAGCTTTAAGCATTCAGTTTTGTCTCCTCAAATATATTTTTGCTACGATTTTATGAGTTGTTAGCACCAGTTCTGTTCAGCTTGTTATGGCAGTGGTGAGACTCCCCACCTTGTATGTGGTACTAACGGCTCGTACGTGCCAGGTCATACTGGTCTGCTCTGTGCCTGGTTAAGTGAGGATGGGAAAAATGTAAACACCCGTCTGGAGCAGTGCTCCTCCCAGGTATTCTGACTCTGGGGCAGAGGTGGCAAAGGCATGAAATCTGAGCAAAATCCTGATCAAGTAGGGTATCTTGCTGAAGTCAGGTTGCTTTAGTGCTTGTTTTGATGGACGCAGGACTGAAAATTTTTCAGTTTCTAAAAGATGAGTGAAGCTGATTTGAATGAGTTCCACCCCCAAATAAACCTATATGAAAGGAATTAAAAAAGATAAAGTAGTAAGATAGCACCATAGTTCAAACTGACAAGTAAACACTAATGCTGTAAAATATTTTCCCCATTAGTAAATGGGAGATTTCACAGAAAACTTGAATTATTAATTTTACATTTAGCAGCCCCGCTATGGGCCACATTTCTTTTTCAGATCTCTCTTGTAATGCAAAGCACTGCGACCTGATAAGCAAAACAGACCATTCTTCAGCTTGTACAAACATCACTTTGAATATATTATCAATCTGAAAGCTGCGTTATATTAACTTAACAATTGCGTTCCTGTGGGATTATTGCTTTACCGTTAACATTATTTGATTTTGGGTAACGTTTTTCATTACATGAGTCACAAACGCATTATCATGGCACTTCATTACAAACTCCCCATTTCACCTAACTGTACCTCGTACGAAAAGACAACTTTCATCTGTACTGTCCACTTAACTTGTATATATTATTGCCATGAGTATGGGCTTCAGTTCTGACATTTCGTTGAAACCGTAATCCCGTCAGTGACAGGAAAGCTCCATCCGATTTTCCTTATACTTTGTATTGATGTAAATTTTGATTTACATGGTGAGATCACACTCATACTTGACAATTCTTTCCACTTCATGTCTCTTCATTTCACCACCAGGGCAAACCCAGAGGTGCTCAAGCTCTTTATTCCCACCCCTGGAAATGCTCTCTCAATCTGATTTCAAGAAAGGCCTACCAGCAAGAAACTCAACTATTTAGCAGTTGAATTAAAGCTGTATGATCTCTTTCGACAATGCACTGACTCTGTCCATCTTCCCTCTTGCTTTTTGCTTCTGCTCCCATTGTCTCATGCACTGTAGCATCACCAAAATAACTTTGCTGGGCAAACTCTAAAGAGCTAAAGAAAGACTCATAATTCATGTGTGGGATTTTCACTGACCAAAAGCCACCCACAAACAGGACACTAGCTGGAAAGATCAGAAACTCCTGTAATGTCTTTGCCATCCTTGGATATCATTCAGTGCTTAGCTTTTGTGCATAGTACTGATCCCTGCTTCAAATCCACAATCTTCTCTCTTGTCTTTGTTTTACCATCAACACTGGAAGCACCACATAACTACACACAGGACCAGAAAAGACGCTGTGGAGAAAGCTACGTCTGAAATTTTCTAGATGACAAAATATGTTAGGGGCATTAGAATCTCACATGGACCTTTCATCCCTTAAAACTACTTAATCCATTTCACCTCTAAATGGCAACCCCCAGAGTTACGGGGCAAGCATATAGATAATAATGGGCAAAATTATGTCATACTACACTATCCTGTATTGTTATCATCTAAAGGCGGACTAATGTTCATCTAAGACTGAGACAACTATAAAAATGTGTAATCCATACATCTTCAACTTATGTTTCCTGCTGGGCATATTCATATTGTTTAAAATCATGCGAACAGCAATTGCTAGAATAAAAAAATCAAGCGAAAGATCTTCAAAGCAATTTAATTAGCTATATATCTTTCCCTGTAAATTCACTCAGTGAAATCAAACACTGTCCACACAAGAAGTTTAAAAATGCCAGATCTCAAAATGGTTTCTCTATTACAGGTTATTTACATGATGAATTTTCAGTCAATGAATATTCCTTTATTTAAAATTTTATAAAATTAAGAACAAACTAGTGATCCATATCTGAAGCAAGAACAGATCACATCGATTAGGCGTACCTGTTAAACAGAAGAGGCTTTTAAGCATTAAGTAAACTATCATTAAAAGATTTAGAAAGTACACAAACCCTAGTGTTCCCTTGTTCACAAGCACACATGCCTTCTAATCTGCTGCAAATATTGGCATTAGATACAGTGACACTCATAAATACAGTAGCATACAGTACTGGTCCTTTAAAATTCTCACAGCCATGCAGTGTGCCTTTTTAAAGACTAAACCTTTTGTTTTTAAAAGGTCCAGCTTACACAACATGATTAAACTGAAAGTGTACTGTAATATACTAATCGTTTAACATTACAGACAGTGAGGACAACTCAGCCATTAGTCTACAAATACCGATAGCCATATTTTGACATGTGTCCAGCTGCACAAGAGTTCTCTAGCTTAGATTCAGTAGAGCAATCACAAAGTGAATCACAAGCACTTCTGCCAGATTAAGGAATTGGACTTTTGGCTTCTCTTTGGTATAGAATCATTAACAGGCTGGAGTGCCTTGCACAACCCTCACTAGAATGACTCAGTATTGAAGTGTTATTTAACAATTCAGAAACTCAGCGATGTGGTTCCCGTGCTGACGCTAGCGCTGAACGCTGCATATGGGACAAGACCTAACTGGCGTACTGCAGAAGGCACTGAGAAACCGATTCCGTCTCTGATTTTCTGCTGTGCTCTGCCTTCAAGTCTCTCATGATTTTGGCCCTCTGCCAGAGCTGCAGAAGGGGTATAGGGCAGGTGGGCATAACAGGAATGCTTATGGCAGTACGTGCCTGTCAGCTCGTGCACCTGCGTGCAAATCACTTCACAGCCTCTGTGCATGTGGGAAACTGCATGTGCTGAGACAGACATGAAAGCCTCGCTTGCAGGAAACGTGCCATATTTAAATCGTCTTTCACTGATAACTTACATTTTCCTTAAATCCTTGTCAAGTTTTAGGATAGCGCAAATCCTTCACAAACAGTCACAATCCAATGACTAAAAAAGGCTGACCCTGTTTTCATGAAGATTTTTGCTGAGGGGAGGAAGTTGCTTGAACAGCATTAAAAAAGCTAAAGGAATCTTCTCCAAACTTTCCTTCTTAAAGAGAACCACAACAAATCCAATTCTGCAGTCAGGGATGAAGTAGCAAACCACTGAAGTTAAAGGATTAAAACAAAAGTGTGTTTTAGAGGACTTAAGGAGACTTAAGGACTAAAGAACTAGAACAAAAGCTACAAGACAATATTATATCCAACTACATACCAGCAATTCAACTATGTTACCAGTTATCTATTATATAATATACAGTCTGACAGTATGATACCATTGTTCAAAAAGAGGAAGGTCTCTTAAAATTAAGATTAATAGGAACTGCCAAAAAGACCACGACAAAGAGCTTTCCTACTTGAATCTGTCACACACTTTAAGTCCAGAAAAAGACCAAACACAAACAAGAGAAACCTCCATCTGAAAAGTGGTATCGTCCTACACTGCTCATTTTCATTCCAAAAGCTGGTTGATTTACAGAAGGCAATGGTCAGCAACACTACATTTGTGATTTTTAGAGAAGCATAGCGATTAGAACAAAATTCCCAGACTGCAACTCCTCCATGAATAACACCGGACCTTATGATCTAAGAACAGCACATACTTAATAGCGTGGTATTGCCTTTGCTTTGTTTTAATGGAAAGCAGAACCTTAGTGAACAGACAGTATGTCACTTCTTGTAATGCTATATGCCATTCAGGTGAATGTCTCTTGGTATGGTATTTCACATAAAAAATGCAAAGGCTTCTGCCTCAGACACACAGGTAGATTTTCTTACCTTTGGTTCCATTGAAATGAAGCTGTGGGTACCTCTACTTGAGAGAACTGACCTTTTAATTGTTTTACTATGGTAGAAGTGGTAGTAATCCTTCAGTGTTCCAATCTGCAAGAGTAGAAAAGAAGAAAAAGAGAGGGAAATTTAATTTATGAAAAGTGGTTTTCTGGTTTTCATTTTTAAAGGTCTATAAATTATGCAATTTCCTGCTGTGCTGAAATGTTACTTGAACCCAGTGATCATCTTTCAAAAGAATGACATATGATACGAAATGGATGGAGTATCCTTGAGGCAGTAACTGCATAACCAAGGATTATAACTGAGCTGCTTAGTCTGTCTCTATCTACCTCTTTAATATTTAATTTATATGCAGTATTTTAAGTAATCCTATATCAATCTATACCCAAACCGTCTTCAAATGGCAAGTATAAAAATCATCAAATGACTGTATGGTTATGAAAAAGCATTCCATCTAGTTTGCTTAAGGAAATGTACCGTAAAACGCACTAGATTTGGTTATTTATACAACTAACTTATAAAAAAGACATTGGACTACTCATCAGGAATAAGCTTCTCTTTTTGCAGAAGGTGGGCAAGAAGGAAGCAGAAGAAAGAAAGATGGAAATGGTAACTTCACAGCATAACAATTTACTAGAAGTAAAAATTCAAACCATATAAAACTGCAAATTTCGCAAGTGCAGTAAAAATACTTTTTATTCATCCCATCAGTACACAGTAGCAACATAGATATTAAACTAGTACAGCCTTCACAATTTTACAATTGTGGGAAATTTCCCCTTCCAGGGTCATTAATATCTAATATGCATAACTTAAAACTTTACTTTTACACATCTACAAACATTCAGCCTCCTCGTCTTTAGGGAAAAGGTCGTCCCAAGCCATTTGGAATGTGGCCTTCTAACACACTGGAGGTATTGTAAGACACTTAATAAAGCAGTTAAAGTTTCCTTAATGATGAGTAAAAAAGGGACACTTGAACTTTCCGTTATTTCAACTGAAAGTAACTGAAAGTGACCTCGACCTCAGAAAATAGGTTTGGTACTGAAAATAATTCTGAATGAAATCACCAAAAGGGTGGAGCAATACAGAAAAGTTCTAATCTCTAAGATCTTCTATGCTGAATTTCTGTCTATAAGAATATATATGTAGGAAACCTGAGTATTTAACATTAACGGTTCAAAGAGAATTCAAAATAAGTCACTGTGGAACTCTGAGAATCTTCTTTTAGACTATCAGAAAACACAAATCTTGAGAAAATATCAGAATAGCCTCAGATGAAATATTCATAGACAATTATTGTTCTAAAGGAACACTTGAAAGTTTAAAAACATAAAAGGTAGTGAGGAACACGGGAGTTTTTTTTTCAAAAAAAATCTTCAGTTGAAATTAGTTCATCTGAATGGTAAAACTGCACCCCAATTTAATATACGAATCTAAATCAGTACAATTAAAAGGTCCATCGATATCTGCATTTTAGGTAGAGTGACTTGTGTTTCGTTTAAGTCAAATAGCAAAACTTTTTTCAGCCAAGCTAGTTTATCATACATGAAACAGGAACTGGTTTGACAAAGCCCAAAGGAAGCACATTAACACTGTAATGGTGATCTCCAGCCTGAGAGATCCACGAGAGGATCCATGGATCTTCTGTTTCAGAGGCCATGCAGACAGAAGTGGTGCGATCCCATCCCGCAAACGAGCCTGTTCTCTGTTCCCATGGGAAGACCCAGCAAAAAAAAAAAAAAAAAAAAAGAGAGAGAGAGAACTTATGTCTACGGGAAAGGTCTTTTTGCCGACATCTCAAAAAGCTGGAGGACACCAAGTGTCCCCAGGTCACCCCCGGGCGCTCCTCTGCAGCTTCTCTGTCGCCAGAGTCGGTGCCAAAGCACACACAGGTGTCTGTCCACGTGCCAGCGTATGCCATTGGTCCATTGGTGACATAGTGTGTGTCAGAAAAACAAGCTGTTTCCATGCTGATTTTAGCCAGCCGAAAGGAAAGTTTAGGACATGTTATCGTACATAGTCGTGTTTTTGTATTACTAGTGACCGGATTAATCCAAGTTTATTCTGATAGTTTAGCAACTTGTAGCACAATGGATGTCACTAAACATCAGACCAACGTTGCATTTAAAAAAAAAATCATTATTTATAGCAACCCTTGAAATTTGGCTCCCAGGCTAGCACCAATATGGGAGACAGTACGTTGTCCTGAGGCAAAGGGGCACAACCCTTCTCTTCCCAGACGCTGCCCGGGCTCAAGAGCAGCCTCAGACAGGACTGACATGCTCATAACACGCAAGTGAGGTTACTCTTAGTTTGTAAGTACAGTCCTCAGACTGTAGCGGGCATATCCACCATACCAAAACACTCTGCAGAGGTTAGGCTTTTATGCCCCTTGCTGTCATTAGTGTGAATCAGAGAGCTACTACTCTGTGTGTATATACAAAAACACACATTTCAATAGACAGAGCTCAATACGTGCAACTGCACCAAACTGCATAGATACCCTTTAAGATAGACACCCTTTAAGGGCACCCAAACCAGCAGATTTTGGGGATGGCCTAATTGTGCTCCCGAGGTCTCACCATCTAGCAGCACTAGCCACTGCAGAAGGGAACAGAGGGCCAGCAGACAGCCCCAGGCACATTTTAGCCCTGAGGCTTGCCCACGTAGGCAGGGAGCTGCACGCTATCTACACCTTCCAACCAAAGGGGAAAATCCTGAGGGCTGATGATGCTTGATAGCGGTATTCCCCCAAGACCTTACACTCAGGAGACAGAATTAAGGCCTTAGAATTAAATGTGGTAATTGTAATGCTGTATCTTCCAGGCACCATCGACTTTCAAATAGTAATAACAACTATTAATAATAATTGATAAAAATGGTGAGACCTACAGCTTTACTTCATAACTGTTAGGGAAATAACACAATCTCAAACCTTTTAAATGGAATTTAATTCATATTCACTAACTGCCGGTGCCTCTCGCAGTAAGGTAACGCCAGTGTTATTAAAAATTTTATTGCCCTCTTTTCCCTTAACGGGAATTTACTTAGACCTTCCAAATCCTTGGATCACTTGGAGAATAGTTAAACCATGGAAATATAGCATAATAAAACTTATCATTATGGATGTTCTTGTTAAATTGTTTTTTATACTTTTAACTACCAGGTCTTAGAGGCACTCTCAGAGGGAAAGTAATGCAAAGACAGAAACACCAGATTGCAGATCTAACCACCTTAGAGACCGATGACAATTTAGCTGTTTTATCCTCGGGAAATCTTTGTAATCTTCTTTTTGACCCGGAAGACCTGATTTCTTTAAAAAGAGATGGAGAAACAATCCTGAAGAATTGCCTAGCCAAAATCAAGTGAGGGGGCGGGGAAGGGATTTACTCTCTTTGGAAGCAATGTTCATCACTAAAAATTTAAAATACATATATACATAAATTTAAGTAATACCATACAATGTTTAATCAAGGATAAAATAACTCATGGCAATAATAATCTGACAACATTGCAGTGGAATCCCAGAAAAGCAAAACATTCACATATATACATTCGTTTTATATTTACTAGGTCTTGTTTTCTTTTTAAAGTTTGGAAAATGAAGTGAATTTTAAAAATATTAACTATGAAACATGAGTCTAACTTTCTAAGCTTAGTTCTTAGAACATACTTCTTCATTTTAGAGTTTTATAGTCTGAGACAGTCTTGAGGTAATTTAGGATATAATGACTGAATGAATTCATCTGTCTTCATCTATGACTGTCCTCAAACTCTGCAAGTAAATATAAATGCTACAGTTGCCTTCAATATCCATATATGACAACTACACTCACCTAAATATACCCTGAAACTATAATTGAAACTTTCATGTAAGAGCACATGAGCAAGCAAGTTGTTCAACCACTTGCCAATGGGAAACAGCCCGAGAGATGCCTTCCCATCAGCTGCTTATCTAACAAATTAACTAAAACACTTCTACTCTTCTATTCTTTGAGTAGAATTCTTCTGTTTCTTGAATAGACGAATTACCTGGACATCTGGCTGCAAAATACACTTTTTCCCAGTGGGCTGAATGGAAAGCAACATGCGATCCGAGTTGGTGGTGAATTGGTGGATGTATGGTTAATTAAGGTCCCTGTTCCTCTGGACTTTAACAGCTTTGGTACAAAACGAATTGGGAAAGGAAGGAAGATCGCGTCCAGTTCTTCACTAGTTCTAAACTCAACGAAGTCCTGGAAAGAGCCCAGCAAGCACAGATCTGTTACCCCTGTGCAGATTTGGAACATAAATCACTATAATTAGGTTCAGAAGCGTATTTCACAAAGGGTTGGAGAGTCGACTTTTCACTTCTTTCAGAATTGGAACAAATCTCTACAGTGTCAAAATTGTTCACAGAAAAAAATATTAAGACGAGAGAGAGAAGGAAGTTTATTAGGATTACTTTCATCACCTCATTTTGACAAAAGTACCTCAACAGTATTTCAAACTTGGTCGTATGATACAAAGGACACTGGAAACCATGTTTCACACACAAATGAAAATGTTTCAGTGTGAAACTGCCGAAACAGAAGGTGCTGAGATAATGGGAACTTTCTCCCCTAAATTAAATGCCAGTGAAGCCAGCCTGGTATTCCAAAGCATTTTTATTTCTGACAGAACCAAATATTCCCATGACTTACAATTCTACTTAACTTCCTCTGCTCTACAGCAAATGCAGAGGAAATGTGGCCAGAGCCTTTCACCTGATCCCTGCTGGCCCATACCACTATCACTGCCCACAGGTGAAAAGAGGTTCAATGATACTATAGAAAACTGCTGCCCCTTTTCCCTCCTCCGTCCTTGCAGGCTTAAGAGGCATTAAATGTTTTAAAATCAGGGTTCTGATCTCAGCATTTGAGGTCAAAAAGCCCTACCACGTGCCATGCACAAGAAACAGGGTTTCCTTACATAGAGCACACTGCTGTGGGGAGAAGGAACAGTCTGCTTTCAGTTTTGGACAATTTGGGGCTCTTGCATAGACCAGTAAATGAAATATTTAGGAGAGAGAAGCACAGGCCCTCAGGAACTTATTCAACCTAAAATTCTAGTTCTGAAGAAAAGGCCTCTATCCAAATATTTAAGCTCTCAGGAAGTCCCCCTTTGGGCTGATATCCTACGCTATCCCACATTGAGTTAAAAACAGCTCCTTGGATTACTACAGGCAGCTGGCATAGAAAAAAAATCAGAAACTGCCAGCACTCCTGAGCGTTGTGGTCTTGTCTTGAGCAGCAGAAGCAAGATAAAGCTACTCTGATGACTAGTCTAAAGAAGGGAAAAACTCCTGGTAGTTAGTCTCTGTTTTATATCTAAAGCAGTACATTAAAGGAACATCTACTGGAAAAAAAAGAGTGCACTTTTAATGTGCCCAAACTCAGTCAACTAAAAGAATGCAAAGCAGTGGTGAAACCAAAGCAATATGGGTATGAATGCAATTATCACCTCAAACTCAACCCGAGCTACCCTAAAAGCGTTATTTCAAACTGAAATGCCCATGTAAGACAGTCTTCACTTCTCTTTTAAGCCCAATTAGCTAACACAAATTAGATGTCCAAGTTGTGCAAATATCTCTCTACGTGCCTGAGGAACGCAGAACCTCAGCTGGCAATTCCTATCTGTGCTTCTCTCACATTTCTTTCTTTTCAGGTTTGTTTTACAGAGAACAGATATTTCCTCGGAGCATTGCCAGCATCTCTGTTTCTGAACGGTGATGTTCTGAACATGCTGGACTTGACCTCAAACGCTCCATGCCTGTATCACTCCTTACACTTTCTTGCAACTTTTTCTTCTGAGTCTGGAAATTCCAGGTAAACTGAGAAGCTAATAGTCATCAACTAGTAAAAAAGCTATACTATAATACAGAGTTCTTCCTCAGTTTCTTAAATCCTCGGTCTGGAAGAAAAGAGTTTAGCCAGCTGCTAGTACACAAGAGGATATTCCCTTCTGAACCACCCCCACACAAAAAACAAAAACCCAAACTAGCCAGACAAATCAAACCACTTGTCTGTTACAACAGAAGCATCGCAACTTCCATATAAATAAACTAGCCTGCACACCTCTTCACATTCTAGGAACGAATATGCTGATGCTTTACTCTTGAAACTCCCTCTCCAGTTTAAATGGGGAAAAAAAATATATCACCTTACTGAATTAATATATGCCACTCCTGACTTCTTTTGCATGTTTTGGCAATTTTCTACTGTGTTTCAGCAACTTGCATGGAGAAATTTTGTTTGAGCACTTAGGTTTAACTGGAAAAGTCCAATTTGATTTTTCAAATCAGTTGACATCTAAACTGAGTAACAGAGGCATTAACATAAAGTAGCTCTGTATTACATGCTTTCAGATAAGAATGTTATTACTGCTGCTTACATCCTGCTGCACTTTGTTTTAAAATAATGTAACACATTAAGTGTTTCAAGGAAAAACCAGAAATAAACTCTCCAACCTTCTAACTTTTCATGTGCTTTTGTTTTCAGAATAAAACCAGTAACAAGACTCTAAGGTCATTTTTAATTCTTGATATTTTTCTAATTCCCTATCAAGGATGAGATTTTTTTTCAAAGTCATTTCATAAATTTTAATGAGAATTTGCACCTTAATGCATCTATTAGGAAGCTTTACAGTTCTCAAAAAAATACAACTGCAGCTAAATGAAGTGAACACATAGGTTAAGAAAAGAACATAAAAAGAACATTTTAAATTACGGTGGACTTTTCTTACAGGAGTTTGAATGTTCTATTCTAGATTATCTCTGTAACAATACAAAGGCTTCTATTCTGTTCCAGAATATAGTCTGAGTACGTTTAGTCTCAATGTAAACTAAAACTAAAATTTAATTTGAAGGATAATCTGAATTTAAATGTACAATTCAAAATTTCTAGTTAGAAATATTCTATTTTTCTAAATACAGAATTATTCTAAATATATTGCAAAATATATTTAGCAATGTGAAACAAATTAATTTTCACCTGGGCAATAAGGTGGGCTAATAATTGGTTAATTACTTTTTTAAAATTCAGGATACATCAGACAAAGCTTCCTGCATTATGCCTTCTGTGTATACGTTTGTTTGTACAGTCGTATTTTAAAACGAATATTATCAAGTGAAATTCTGCTTTGAGGGATTCCAGTACTTTAGTGCTCTCCTGCTAACTGTATTTAACATTTGGAGTTACATGAAAAAAGAGAAGAAACTTCAAAATCAAACAGTGGTATAAAATGTTTTGCCTCATCAAAAAAAATAATGTATTGACCCTGACCTCAGAGGCCTTTGCACAGCTGTTTTGGTGGAAGTATCTGTAAGAATGGCAAAGTGTTTAGTCAGAAAAGAGGCCGCAGCTCTCAGGATATAGTAGGAATTTATAAAATAAGTTCAGATATTAAAAAGATATAAACTACAACTGTATCAATAGCTTTATTCTAATATGTGCTTAATCATATCACGAATTATTCATTTACTCCACCCTACCAAACAGGATAAACAATCCTTCCAAAGAGGACTGTGGCAGCTTTTTTGGATTATATATTCATTTAAATCCTGTAAATTTTGGAATGAAGATCTTTCCGCCTTATTAATTGAGTTCGGAGAGGAGAGAGAGGGTAGCTGATTCTCTTTGGAATAAAACTGCTTACCCCTTTGATCTTATTTAATTACAAATAATGATAGTTCTCTCAGAATAAGAAAAAATTGCATATTCAAGGCCAAAGACAAATCCTGAAGACATCAATCAGTTCAGTAAAGCCAAGAGAAAGTTGCCTGAATAAAGACAAGGTGGAAAGGTTTGAGTTTGAACACAGATGAGAAGTGAAGAGAATAGTGCCTTAGCCACTGCAGGTCATACAGGACCCTGGTAAATACATATTCCCTCCAACAACAGCAAGAAAAGCAGAGCCTGAGCCCAGACCCCACCTTCTCCCAACTGCAGCTCTGCAAACAAGGATGTGCTGCAGTTGCCAGGGGACAGCTCTCCTTGAGTCTCACCTGTATTGCCTACTGGTATCCTCCACACATTATCCTTGCTGCACAGTACCACGTCCCTACAGATGAGGACATAAAAATATGTCCTCAGTATTGTTAGGAATGAATAAAAATTGAGACATGGACCCTATGTTGATTATCCAAACACTCTAAATCAAAAGAAATCTGACCATAACTAAGTTTATTCTTTTAAAGTCAGTAAGAAACAGTTGCATCCGCCTCCTCTCACAGTTGCATCCGCCTCCTCTCTCGGACTGACAAGCAGGTTGTGACCTTAAGGACAATGTTCAAGTAAGTAGATAAAAATTAATGAATGCAGATGCAACAACTTTCCTTTGTGAGCAGATTTTCCTGTGAAGCTAAGTTTGGTCTACCAACAGCTATATTGGTTTAAATGAGTTGGGTGGGAGATGGGGAAGAAAGTCATTTCCACATCCATCATGTGAAATTTCACAATCCAAGTACAACTAAGGACCTTAATAATTGCAGCCCCTTTGTCATGGAGAGTTTTGCCTGAAGAGACAATGCAGCAATTGGCAAGTTCATGTCCCTATCAAATAAAGCAATGCAAGGTTGCTCAGCAACCTGTCATTAGGGGTTTTCAGTTCCAGGGCAACATTAAACATTTCATGAAAATTTTCAAAAGGAAATCAATTACTGCCTTCTCTCCTATTAATCTTTCCTATTGTTTATTTTAAAAACACAAAGCAGTGCAATGTAAACTGATAATTTAAGTCCCCTTTTTTGAAGCTCTGTGAGTCACCACCTTATTTCTCTAAGTACAGAATGAGTGCCTCAAACCGTATTTATTTTCTGCTCTAGGAACAAACTTTCTCTGTCCAACATCTAAAGCAGCTTCAACACAGTATTACACCATCATCCATTGCAAGCTCAAGCCATAACAAATGTTGTTTGTGTCTGTGGGGAAGCTGTCAAGCAGTATGGTAGCGTTTGCTTCAGTAAACAGCTCCCAAAAGGAAGGTACTGGATAGGAAACAAATATCTTTAACATTGCAAGTAGTCCACCAAATTGTTGTTTCATTCTAAAATCTTGCTCCCCTTTACTAACTCATTGTTCCGTACTGTAAAGCATCCAAATGATATATACCGCATTACCTGAAAAGAGCTTTGTTGCTTCTTTGTTGACTTTGAATCCTATTTCATGTTGCATTACTGA